GTAAAAGTTGCGAAGACAATCTTACAGCAACGTTTCTGTCAACACGGCACAAGTCTGAACTGCATGCAGTCACATGAACAGACGGTATGCACAAGCAATATACTATAAGCTGTCTGAAGTGATCTTTAAAAGGTTTTTATTCCACATTTCAGCACCAATATTGGTCCAAAAATCAACCAGAGACAACTTCATCATTCACTTTGCAGTACAATTTCACATCTATTACAAACTGAAATGTCCATAAAATTTCAATGCAATGAGGCCAGAGCAGGTCGAACTGATGAAAACATTAACAGGAGCTGAAGTTCGGTTTGTTGCTTCCAGCTGTTTGTGGGAGTTTTTCCTCTGAGTCTATCAAATATCTGCAGCATCAGAGAGCAGCAGAAGTTGTGCCATTGTGCATGTGGAACAACTTCACAGGTTACTTCTAATTATAAATAATCCTCGGAGACACAGCTATAGGCTTGATCAGGATCTAAAAGTAAATGACACCTCAGACGGATGAGCTGCCACACAGAGTTACACAGCAGGTGTCCTCAGCTTGTCGTGATATTTTTATTTTTTTTTAAGTTATTTTTTTTGGCCTTTGTGCCTTTATTGTATAGTGTTAGTGAGAGAGAGACAGGAAAGCCAGGTGAGCTATAGTGGTGCCCGTCGTGATATTTCTATTTTACTGTGGGTCAAAAAATGTAGAAGATCGTCACACATGAAGAAAATTTTTAATCTGAAAGACATCAAATAAACTTGGCTGTTACTTGTTAAGCTGCTACTGGTTCAGGTTTAGTCTTTTGTTTATTATTACGTCTATTGTCTACATGACAGAATGCCGTCACTGGAACAGACTGATGAAGCTGTCAGCGTATTCATTGACTAAAAAGGGCTTCAGTTTTGATTTGATCATGATATTTAAAGTACAAAAACAACCCATTCTCTGTTTCTTTTTTTGTTGGATCAATAAATAAAAGAGTTAAATATAACAAGAACAAATGATACACAGATTTATGATGCTGTATGGCCTCCATTTTTTTTTCTCCACTGCCAAGCGAACATTACCGCTACTACCTGGCTATTTTGTCGAGTTTGTCAGAGTTGTGATGTGTCAGAGATGTGGTCTGGCTGATCTGATCACATTATTTGTGTACAGATTGGATGTTAATCCCAGTTATTAGCGGCATAACTGTTCTGCTACACGTGTGTCGGTGCGTCAGCTGATTCCTCTGCAGTCTGTGTGCTAACTGGGGGAGATGCCAGCTCACATGCACAAATAAAAGAACAACAACAACAACAAAAAAAGTAATCACAAACCCACACACACATTGTGCAGGTGCAGCAGAACCAGTCGGTGCAGGGTGACAGGAAGAAGAAGAGGAGGAGGAGGAGGAGGAGGAGGAGGAGGGCGATGATGGACAAACTAATGAAAAAGTCGCGTTCAAATCCGTGTTCGCTAACCGGGACATTAAGCATGACTCAGCAGCCACAGAGATTTTGGCAAACTGATAAGATCCTGGCTGAAGCTACAGGTGAAGTAAAAAAAAAACAGTCCGGTTCAGGCTGGGGTTCAACGTGACGTAAGAACAGTGGAGAGGCGCGACGAAAAGTTCAGCAGCCGTGAGTCACAGCCGGTGAAGATTTTAGCAACCGTACAGTGGAGAAAAAATTTATGTTTTAGCATGTAGCTCATGATCAGAACTATTGCTGCTATTGACTGAAGTATTTTGATATTATTATTATTTTGTATTAATAGATTTCCTCTATTAACTTGGAATGGGGAAAACATCCATCACAATTTCCCAAAACTCAAATTTAGAAATTAAGGTTGACATGTTTTGTCCAATTAACAACCCAAACACCAAGAAATTCAACTGGAGACGCACCTGACTACATTTTTTTTTTTTGCCTTTTGTGGAACATAAAGTGACTGTGATTGAGAATTAGAGTTTGCGATGCCATAATGATGCCATCATTGTTATTTTTGATTTGCAGATTAGATATTTATGCCAAAGTTCCTTTGCTACAAACTGGGGTCATGGGGTTTTCAAGGTGTGAGTGATGCATTATGGGAAATGTAGTATCCTAACCTCTGCTGCTTTGATTCTGATCATCTTCTAAAGCCATCTGTTGTGCACGTACAATATGAAATCTAAGGAATGCCCCTTTAAGCTGGGCTGACATCGGGCAGACCAACCCCCTTTTTTTCCCATTTGTTCCATTTCCAGTTTTGTGTATTAACCTGTGGCTGCTGTTGCCGAGCTGGTAGCACACAGGTGCTCGGCCTGAAGGATTTGCTCAGGGTTCTGCATTTACAGATGATGTTACCTTTACCGGGCTTCGTTACTGGTTACCAGTAGAGATGCAGACCGTTAGAGGACTACACATGTACTCATACAACTGGAGTTACTACGATTTACATGAGTCAGGAAATGTTACATAAAGACACACTGACCAAAAATAATGTTAATATCTACTGTTGCCTTTAGCTAAACAAAATATTGTATTCAGTGAAAACAGCTGATTTGTTGCAGTCTCGCTGTATTTTGACTGAGTGAATTCAAATTTTTAGGCTGAAATTGCCGTAAAAGCTTTTCTAATAAATGTTGGTGCAACCATTTATACCAGCAAAGAATTAAATACATATTATAAATAATACATAATTTAAATCACTGTCTATATTAAGCATATATATATGAATGTAACGTGAATTTACAAACTGCACAGATATAAAATAATTACATGCAACATTCGGCTGTTCCATTTTCATCAGATCTCTAACAAACAACAGCACAATCAGAACTGAAATGGCAAAACGCACAGCATCCACCCAGCCAATCACGATGCCTGAGCCCGAGCAGATGTGGCAGGTTGAGCACATCTGGTACCTGCACCAGCTGTATTAAAAAAAAAAGTCTGTCTTGAATCATTCAGACGGCACACTATACATCTCTCAAAGAAACACATTAATAAGGAGGTCATACACGCAGACAACAACACATCTAACAATGTTTGGCACAAATCAAAATGCTAAAAACTATCTTATATCTGGTTCAACTAGCTTTGCAGTCGTCTGCAACGTGCTTCAAAGTGGAGGTCGAGTTATTGTCAAATACATAAACAGTGCTGAATAACAGCCTCATCAGTTCCACCACTGTTGCTAATGTGTTTTCAATAAAACATTATATTTATATGTAAATGCTGAAAATATGAATTTGAATATACTGTCTGTTTGCTTACAGTCAGATGAAGTTTATTAAAACTGATGTTTTATTAAATGAATGACGCTCAGCGGATAACTGAACTCGTGGCAGTTTAAACTGTGGACATGAATGCAAACAAGCAGCAGTGACAAAAGAGAGACGTTCATTTAACATTTAAACCCTGACAACACACATTAATAAAGGTCTGTTAGTGCTGGGTCACGCAGCAGGTTTGGCCGGTGCCTGTTTTACGGCCACTTGTTAACGACAACATTCAGCTTCCCATCCTTTGACCTTCGCTGAGCCGTTGACGACTCGCATACAGTCCCACACAGCCTCGCACACAGATTTGCCTCAACAGTGTAATCCCGCGGAGCAGACTGGCAGCTCGGCAGCCTGCCTGTACATGTCTGCTCCGTGCTGCTGTCACCACGCCTTCAGCCCCAAACAGCACAATTACCCTGCACTCAGTGACAAAGTTCAAGGTAGGCAGTGCTGTTTGGCAGGCCTTTAATTCGACTTACTCTGATGAATCTGTCAACAGTATCGGTTGGGCCGTCTGAAGCGCTATCCCGACGTAAACACAACAAACTATTATAAATCTCGCAGAGGTATAATTACCAGGAAATGGAGAAATAAATACACAACTCTGAAAGTGAGTAGCCGCACAATAATAAGCCTCGGCGTCGGCTACGGGAGTCATCCCTGAATGATGAGCGCCCGCTTGTAAATCTGCTGAAGGTACGAGGAATGAATGGCAGCAGAAAATGGAGCGGAGCCTTGCGGAGGAATGCAGAAACCCACCTAACCACCTCCCACAGGCTGCTGGGAGAGCAGGCACACACATGCGACCCAACCAACCGGCCCCCAGGAAGAGGTGGCACTGTGCAGCTCAGCTGCAGAGCTGGGCCGAGAGCTATCCTCACCGGGGTCTGGAGCTCCTGAACTGCCCCCAAAGTAAATACATGCACATATGTAATAATCTCAGTGACCTCGTTGAACTTTTCAAATGTCTAATAACATCCCCATAGCATTAGTTTAATGGTCACACACACACTGCATCTGCAGACTTCTAACTAATGTTCTGATTTTATAATTTGATATTTTAAAGGAACATGGGGTTGTTGAAATAATAATAGCAACTTTGAGAGCTATTTTAAAGGATTCCAATCTGGTCTGGTTCTCCTGAATGAAAAACACCTGCAAATGTTCACAGGCTGCACAAAAATTATCTTTGCTGAGCTCTGAAATGTCCAGAATATTACAGGGTGAGTAAGAACAACTGTGTTGAATGTAATTAGGCTGGAAAAACATGCAAAGGAGAGAAAAAAAAACCCCCAAAACATCTGCTCACAACTTTTTTTCTCCAAACTTTAGGTGGATATTATTTCCACCTGCCATTAAATATCACAGGTTTATGGACAAAATGAGTTTTTTCACATGTAAAATATGGTTTAATTGTTGATTAGAATTAAAAAAGAACAAGAATATGTGCTTTTTTTCTTTCTTTTTCTTAATGGTCTTGGTGGGGGTGGGGTGGGGGGTGTTGGTAAGATATTAAGTATGTGAAAGTGTGTGTGTGTGTGTGTGTGTGTGTGTGTGTGTGTGTGTGGTGGTTAACAATTAACCTGAGTGGCCACTGAGCCGGAGGGAAAAAAAAGAGGACAGAAGAAGATGATGTGAAGGTGAGGAGGAAAATAGGAGGCTAACAGGTGAAACAGAGCAGTGGAGGTGAGAGAGAGAGAGAGAGAGAGCGGCGGCTGCGGTCCACTCTGTGAACTCACGGTAAGAAAAAAAGTTCCAACTTACAGCCAGTTACTCGCGTTGGCCGAGAGGAGTGCGCAGCAGAGCATCAGGACGCACCGCAAAACATATTCCTCGGTCATCTCGAGAAGGAAGGAGGGGAGGTTCGGTGGTGAAGCTGAAATAATCCCGAGGTGGAGAGTGGGGAAGAAAAGGAGAATAGTGGCACTGTCCGGGGAGGGATGTTAATCCATCGTCCCGCATCCAGTGGACCATCCACCGGGGGAGACGCGCAGCTTCACGGTCCCGGTTCTCCCGTCCCTCCCTCTGTCACTGCACAATGAGAAGGGACGGGGGAAAAGAAGGGGGCCAAGAGAGGGATGCTTTGGAAGAAAAAACAAAAACAAACAACTCTGGAGGAGCTGCTTTGCGTGAATTCTTCAACTTGTTTGCTTTCCTGCGCTTTCACGCCACGCAGGGAGAGCGCGCGTAGAGGCAGTCAAATAAAATAAAATAAAAAGATGAACGAGTTCTCCGGTTCTTCTTCTTCTTCCTCCTCCTCTTCACTTAAAGGCTCATCATCCGCTGCCGGGTGCCGCTCTGGAACCAGCGGGACTCTCCTGTCAGCGCGCCGCGGGCTCTCCAACTCTCACCCCGGACTCATGAACGCACTCTTGGAGCGTAAATACGCACGGCCTCTCCTCGCACTCCGCCGTCCCTCCGCGCGTCTGGCAGAGGAGAGAGCGTGTGCGCTGACTTTAGTGGAGGGGCGGTGCGAGGATATAGAGGTATGGCAGAGAGATGGGAGTTTTTTTAGGGGGATGAAGGAGGCGGGTTCAGCGCGCTGCTAAGGTACTGTGTTTGTGCGAGCGTGTGTGTGTGTGTGTGTG